ACATTAAAAAAAGATAAAAATATAAAATCCCTCAGTTGTATGCACAGCTAAACAGAACTGTTTTCAACCTTGTCTTAAACATTGTCAGAGAGGAGGCCTGTCTCACATCTTCAGGAAGACTGTTCCAGATTTTAGCAGCATGAATCTGAAAAGCAGCCTCCCCATGTTTAGTTCTGACTCTGGGCACTAACAGGAGTCCAGTCCCTGTGCTCCTCAGAGTCCGGGCTGGTTCATATGGGACTAACATGTCACTAATATAGTTTGGTGCGAGGCCATGGAGAGATTTGTACACAAGCAGAGCTGTTTTAAAGTCTATTCTCTGAGCCACAGGAAGCCAGTGCAGGGACCTGAGGACCGGACTAATGTGGTCGTACTTCCTGGTTCTAGTCAGGACTCGAGCTGCTGCATTTTGAATGTACTGCAGCTGTTTTACAGCCTGTTTGGACAGACCTGTGAGCAGGCCATTGCAGTAGTCTAACCTACTGGAGACAAATGCATGGATAAGAATCTCCAAGTCTGCTTTAGACACTATGTTTTTGATCCTGGCAATGTTTTTTAGATGGTAAAAAGCTGCTGATGTTACTGATTTGATGTGGCTATTAAAATTTAAGTCTGAGTCCAGTATTACCCCTAGATTTCTGACCTTGTTTGAAGGTTTTAGGGAGAGAGACTGTAGGTGACAGATGACGCTCTCTCTTTGTTTCTGGGGACCAAAGACAATCATTTCAGTTTTGTCTGCGTTTAGCTGAAGGAAGTTGTTTTGCATCCACTCACTGATCTGTTGGATACAGTGAAGGAGTGAGTCCATTGGTCCATGTTCTCCTGCAGTCAGTGAGACATAGATCTGAGTGTCGTCTGCATAGTTTTGATAGGACACTTTGTTTCTGCGTATTAACTGACCTAACGGCAGCATGTAGAGATTGAACAGAAGAGGTCCCAGGATCGACCCCTGTGGTACTCCACAGGTCAGGGCCATATGATCTGAGACACAGTCTCCAATCTCCACAAAGTACTTCCTGTCTTCAAGGTAAGACCTAAACCAACTTAGGGCGGTGCCAGCGACTCCAACCCAGTCCTCTAATCTCTGTAAGAGGATCTCATGGTCGACGGTGTCAAAGGCAGCACTCAGATCTAACAAGATTAAGATTGAGACTTTGCCTGCGTCAGTGTTCAGCCGGATATCGTTTGTAACCTTGACAAGAGCAGTCTCAGTGCTGTGGTGGGGTCTAAAGCCGGACTGAAACATATCAAATGAGTTGTTGATTATAAGAAATCTAGTAAGCTGTAGGTAGACAACTTTTTCAAGGACTTTCCCCATAAATGGCAGATTTGAGATGGGACGATAGTTGTTAAGTACCGTAGCATCCAGGCTGCTCTTTTTTAGCAGGGGCTTGATGACTGCAGTTTTCAGGGCCTTTGGGAATATTCCAGAATGAAGGGACATGTTTACTATCTGTGTGAGTGAAGGTAACAGACTGCTCAGAACAGACTTCAGAAATCTAGTGGGTAGTACATCCAGGCTGCATGTGGAGGAGCTCAAACTGGAGATTATTTCTTGGACATTTTTATCATCTACAGGTGCAAAGTAAGTTAGCTCAGAGAGCCTTTCTGGCTGTTGGATGGTTATCTGTGGATTGGAGACAATGGCGTTTTTGATGCCTTGAACCTTGTCATTGAAAAAGTGTGCAAACTCATTGCATTTACGTTTGGAAGTTAGCTCTAATGGCATCTGAACAGGGGGGTTTGTTAATATATTAACTGTTGAAAACAGAACACGCAGATTGTTACTGCAGCCTTCAATCATTTCAGAAAAATACCTTTCTCTCGTACTACGTAGCACCCGGTTAAACTCGCACAACTTATCTTTGAAGATCTTGTAATCAACCTGGAGGTTGGACTTGCGCCACTTCCGCTCGGCCCTCCGGCACTTTCTCTTTTGTGCCCTGACCGAGTCTGCTTTAGCCCACGGCGCCTTCTGCTTATTTTTCACTATTTTAACCTTCACAGGGGCAACGGTATCCAGAACATTCAAAACACTAGAGGTGACAGAGTTAAACAGTTCATCTACAGTAGAATACGATGCATTCTCAAAGTTTATCATTCCCATAAATAGATCACTCGTATTTTCATTTATGTGTCTTCTTCGAACAGTTGCAGAGTCCACTGGTGGTTTGTTAGTGAAACACATGTCAAAAAATACACAGAAATGATCCGAAAGAGCAACATCGACCACGCTTATATTTGAAATATTCACCCCCTTTGTAACTAACAGGTCTAGAGTGTGCCCTCTGCTGTGGGTGGGGCCACTCACATGCTGAGTGAGACCAAAGGTATCAAGTAAAGAACTCAGCTCTTTTGCATTTCTGTCATCAACATTATCCACATGAATATTAAAATCACCTGTAATAACTAAACTATCAAAATCTGTGCATACAACAGAAAGCAACTCGGTAAGATTATCAATAAAACTGTGACATGACTGCGGTGGCTTGTATAGGACTATGAAGAGTATTGGAGGAGATTGTTTTTGTTGTATTTTAAAAGACACATATTCAAAAAACAGAAACTTCCCAAGAGACATTCTATGGGAGACAAAGTGGTCTCTGAAAATGGCAGCTAAGCCTCCTCCTTTTTTGTTTTCCCGTATTTCAGATTCAAATTTGAAATTTGGTGGTGATGCTTCTATTAAAACTGCATTTTCTGTATTTTGGTCAAGCCATGTTTCAGCCATGAACATAAGATCAAGATTATAAGAACAAATAAAATTATTGATTAAAAAAGACTTGTTAGAAAGAGATCTGACATTTAGCATAGCAAGTTTCAAAGTTTCAGTATCAGCGGTTGTGGTCGGCTGATTCTTACACGGAACAAGAAATAGATTTTCCAGATTAGACTGATTAACTCCAGATGTCTTTCTGTAATGTATTCTTTGTGTTATCACTAAGGGAATGGCACAGGTGGCTTCATGACAGGGCCCGATGGTCAGATGAAAGAAACCAAAATAGCACTTGTTGGTAAAAACTCAACTTGTCGTGTTTGGAGGAGAAAGAATGCTAAGTGAGATTGAGATGAGCTTTTATTATTGACCAAATACTTACTTATGTGATTTTCTGGATATTTTTTCTTTCATAGTTGAGGTATACATGATGATGAAAATTGCAGGCCTCCCTTGTTTGGGAGAACTTGTGCAATTGGTGGCTGACTAAAGACTTTTTTGCCTAACTGTATATTGCCTCGTTACCTATTTCATGTCTAAGCTCATTTGAAGTACTGTGAGGACTATTACTGCGGTTTGTACATTGTTTTGTTCAGTTGAAACACACTTAAACATTTGTTTTCATCAAATGTGCAAAACCAATTGGCTGGCGGTATATATTTTGAAACTTGACCGGGCATCAAATTTCTATGATCTCACTTAACATATCGTAATAATTATGAATGCCAAATTGGAATAAATGTAGCTGGAATAGGTATTGAATCGGAGTCCATGTAATGTAATATGTATCGTATTAAAACTCCTCCAACTGGGACTCCACCTTTAACCTGTGCAACTGGATCATGGACGTGCTGTAAACCGGTGCTGTAAACCAGTTCGGTAACTCCCCTGGTCTGACATTTTGTTTACAATGGAATAGTGTCCAAAATGTCCAGTGAACCTGAACCCAAACCTAACCAGTCATTCTCTGTGTTTTGTTTTTACTGCTTTGGTTCTTATAGAATGATAACTACATGTACCAGTTCATATGTAAATATCTTTTAACATTTGGCTGCTAATTGTAAGCCATCTTCAGCTGATTTATTTGTCTCACAATGGAATACTTCCTGAGTGGGCGTGATCTGACCTAACCGCTCGCTCAGACTGATCTTGCCCCTGTGGAGAAGGGTGTCCCATGTGTCAGGATAGGAGGAAGGCTCTGTCGTCATGGTTGAAGATGTTGTTTCCCCGCTTTCTGATCACTTGAACCAACAACTTTAGTCCCGTCATATTGTGGTTATTTATCTTGCAATAGTATAATCCTGTATGGAGTACGAGTGAAAGTCAAGGCAAAAGTATTTCAAGTAAAGTGAACTATTACAGACCATTGCCAGATGGATAAAGGAGTTGATAGCATCAACCGTGAAGACTGAGCCTTCCACCCTCTTCTAGAGACTGGTGAGAGGGGGTGTGGTCAGACTGAGCGACCTGTCAAGGCAATCGGGATGACCACTCCCACTTGGGAAGTAACGTCAGTGGATAAGTGAAATGTCACAAGTCAGGTGACAGTTATGGAGATGAATTGCAGTTCTGCAGCCGATACATGTCAGCAAGCTAATTACATTTCAACCAGTAGTTGTCTTTCAATAAGAACCTAAGCATTAAAAAGACTAAAGCAGACAAAAAGAACATTCTTTTACATTCCCACTATGAGCTATCCAAGTTTATGTCATATTCCAATATGGGGTTTATTTTTACAGACAGATTACACAGGTGCAAAAAGAATGACACCCCTTAACATTGTTTCATATTTTTTGTTCACATCAGAAATAAGTATTCTTCAATGAAACTGATTATATATGTTAAAATGGGGCTTTTATGCCAAGTGAAGGAGATTATGCAAATCTTGTTTTAAATGTTCCATTATACGGCTACATAATATGGCTATTCTAAATTATATGACACCAGTTCTGTCTGGAGGAATGAGCCAGCTAATCTGCAGTGTGTAGGACACATTGACAATTTGGCTCTTTACAGCTGCACTTTACAGAGGTCTCCCATCACAGTACTAACCAGGCTCTGTATATGAATACATTTTAGACAGATATTTCGAAAAGTCTACTGCAGTACTTAAATTGACCTCATGAGGTCAGCAGTAACACATGAATAGAAACTTGAGCGCAGCAGCTCCAGAAGGATTGACTATAGTATGTGTTGCTATCTTTTATATTTCATATTTAGACAATTATTTTACTATTTTTATGTTATTATAATCTGAATTAACCTTATTTTCCTTTTCTTTCAGTATAGCCAATGAAGCAGGAGCTTCCATCTATAGTGTGAGCCCTGAGGCTGTTAAAGAATTGCCAGATCTGGATCCAAATCTAAGGAGTGCAGGTATGTCTCCAAATGGCGTCTTGTTAAGAAAGACATGTCATTTCTTTCTCACCTGTTTTAGGTCAGTTATTGCCGTTTTTTCTTAGTGTAGGTACACTTCAGCTTTACACTGCGAGCAAAGATCGCAATAAACCAAATTAGATATTCAACTATAAAATCCCTTAACTATAAACTGCCTTTAATACATTTGTAGTTTAATTAACTGTGCTGGCATTCTTCATATTACACTCAACATTATATGAAATGCAACTGATTTTCTCCACGTTCTCTATGAAAATGTAATCATGTAAAAGTGACCAGATTATTTCCTGTGGTCCTAAACCCAAAGAGCAATCATTCTTACACCCATAGAAACCATGTTTATTGTTAATTAATTAACACATCTGACTTTAATTTAATACACCACAGAGACATACACCACAGAGACACCTAGTGGAAAACATTATTCACAAGAGTATCAAGTGTATTGAGTAAAATATTATTGTATAGATTTGACTTAGCCCTGTTCCATTTGGACTCTTTTGGCGTGTCCCAGTTTGGGTGCTGGCCCATTTCTCTCTACTTTCACTTTAATCTAATCTGAATTTAGTTTTTGGGGAATAAGTAGTGCACAGACGCTGGAATCCATTTACAAATAAGGGCACAGTTTTCCAGAAAAAGAGAAAGGGAGAAAAAGAATATAAGATCATTTTGGTGGTGTAACGTGCAAGGCCAGTGCTGAAACTCCATCCCTGTCTAAATATTATCTCAGGGAGCAGCCTCCCACCGCACCAGAGCCCAGTGCAGAGAACCAGTGATTCCATCCATATTGCCTGTTACATCCCCACAACAATTGTAAAGCGCTCTGTGACTCTGGTCTGTGAAAGGCGCTATATAAATGAAGATTACTTACTTACTTACTTTCTTTGTCTCTTCTACATTGAAACTCTAATTCCCTTTTGCAAAGTTCTTTGACAAATTTCAAAGCATCCAACAAAAGCATCAAGCAAGATCAGATGTCAATCAATATCCTCTTTTTATTATTTTTATTTTGGGTGAGAATTCACAATTGGATTTAGTTTACGCTTTGGCCAATTTCGTAATATGTAGACAATTATCTTAATCTCTATTTTTAGATTATATTATGCACTTGCATTTTCAATAACTGATTGTATTTAAGGTTTAGGGAACAAAATATGTTCTTTTGTTGTGCAGTGTCTATTGGAAGGCGAGTTCAAGACCCATTGGCCGAGCTTGTAAAAATTGATCCCAAACACATAGGCATCGGCACATACCAAGTAAGTCATTTTTTTCTCCTGGGAATGTGGTGTTAGAATCAAAAACAATGTATCATGTTTAACAATGTATCAAACTTTTTAAAAGAATCTTAAACATAAAAAGTGCAAATGAAGAAATATCCCATTTTTAACCTGATGGCTGTTAAAGCTCATACATTAAGCTTTGCTTGATTTGACACAAAAAGGTCAAATTGTCAAAGTGTTTGTGTTTTTGTGATGGGTCCTGGGCCCCTGTCTCTCATCGCATTCTGACTGGACTCTCTGGGGTGCCTGGGGTTCTGCGCCTCCCATCCTCAGATCATGTGACTAGGTCAACAAATGATAATATAACAGGCTAAATAAACTTTGGGTGCTGACAGATATGAGATGAGACATCACTTTGACCTGAGCTCGTGCACAAGCTCACACATACATCTGCAGAGCTCTTCCCAAACACTAAAATGTCTGTGTGGTTAGAAACAAACCCAAAGCACACCGTAATGCACTGTATATAGATTTCTTGTGCACTACAAGGCCTTTGAATATTTGTTACCAATAGATCCCAATAGTATAAGGAAAGATGTAACTCGAGACAGCTGGCACAGCAGGCTCTCCCTCGGCTGACCCAGTGACTGACAGCTCTAAAAGAACGAAGGAAATGAGCTGAGGGCTAAAAAAGTGTGGCCCATTAAAGTCAGATTGGACATAACTATCGGTGTGGGAACCTTGTTTTCTTTGCACTGACAGACCAGGCTTTATTGAATATTGGGTTTGACTGAACACTGCAGCACAACTTTTGCTAACATTGCAATAGTTGCCGATTATAGATGTATTACGTTTAACACAGCACTTATTAGAGACACTGATGGTGGTTGTGGGCACCCTGTTCATCTGTCACTTCTTTAAGTTGATGTACTGACAGCTGGCTCATTCCCCACGCTGAGAAACTACCTGCTACTGGAGATACACACACACACTGTGTAAGAAAACATATCCCACCAACCGGATATTAAAGAATCTGTCAGTCATTTTCTGACCCTTCAGATAACACTTACATTGAGGAATCTCTCTCAGCAGCTTTTCGCCATATTACATGTTTGTAACCACACTCTTCTAGACAAAAGTTTATACAAATATACAATCAATTTTATTACAGGCCACGAGTCACTAGGCACCCTTGAACTTGCAGCCATATTTCTTATTTAATGGTGTTGTGCCTTTAGGGGAGACAGGAGCAGACAAAGCTAATAGGAGGAAGGAGTGAAAGGTAGGGAAATTGAGTGCTGACAGTGATTGATAGGTTCTGCCCAGAAGTTTAAAGGCGTGGGAATACAAGAACTTGTTTTGGATTTGAGTAGATTCTAAAGCTGCCAAACAATATCTTTGAATGTCCCCCAGGTTTGTCAGAGAGGGCATGTGTGTTTTTTGCCTGTCATTTAATGTCTAACATTCATACAAGCCCATTCATTCTTATAATAGTTTTTTATTTTGTGTGACTCAATTTTGCAGTTGTGATAATGTAATGTATCTAACTAACATTTAAACGTTTGTTTTATTTCTGAAAAAACAATTCATGCCCCAGTTTGTAGCCCTGCAGGTTATGAGCAAGTGTGCACAGGCTCATGTCCCCTCAACGCAATTGTTTGTAGACAGGACGTTGGGAAAAACAGCTATCGATGCGGAGCATTCATGGAAAGTGTAAGAACAAACATAAAACCATCATCGCGCTGTCATATCATTTACAGTGGCTGATTTATAACGAGTGCTGAGCTTCACTTTGCATTACTCATCGATGCACATCCTCACAGGTGTCACACCTAACCTGAATGCCTCAAATAGTAAAATACTAGTTCTCAGGGGCTTTAAAGGAGCTGTCAGTCAAGACTAATGTGACCGTCAGATAACCTCAAACTTTTTGTGACTATGAAAATCCAAAAAGGGATTCAAAAGATAATGAACCATTGTAGATTTTAAAACATTACACCCTTAGATCTGAGTTTAATAACCTCAGCACTTGTATGATCAATGATTATATTACCTATTACTATTAACTTTTTGGAGGTACACACGCACACACACATACCAACAGCAACATTTAAAAAAATACTATAGAAGCAAGGAATATTGGTAATAAGATTAGAGCATGCTGATAACTCAACAAATAACAATTGTAAACCGCTTTCTGGTCTGTGAAAGGCGGTATATAAATAAAGATTACTTACTTACTTACCTACTTAACTCCAAGTGACAGTAAGAGAAAAGCACCTGTAAAGTTACACCTGGGAAGAATGCGTTCTCATAAGGCAAGAGGAGGCATGGAAGAGCCCAACCTGCTGTAAAACCCAAGTCTGTGTGCTCTCAGATTCCAGCTGTAACTTAATACAGCTGAGACAATGATAGTCGGATCTGAATAAACGCATCGCTCACCTATTAAAACTTAGCCTCCGTATGAACTTCATCGATGTCGTAAATATTTTTCTTTATTGAGTGTATGTTTGCGTGCTTGAGTGCACGTTTTTTGTTGTGTGAATGAGTGAGAGGTGTTGGAGCCAAATAAGCATTTTCTTTGTTCAACAACTTTTCCAACTGTTTTTTGTATCTTGTTTGTTTTATTTTGTATACAAATAATTGTTTGAAATATACACACATCACATAAAAACCCCAAAACGGTGAAGAAAGACATTATTTATTAAAAAAGCAGCCCCAATAAAAGTAAATAAAACAAATATATACAACATGCACAGCTCTTACTGTGGGTTGAGGATGAGAAGGGTCTGACACTATGTTTGTCCAAGCCTCTCAGTTAATCTGGTTCCATGATTCCCCCTCCTTCTCTTCTTTAATATGTTTGTTTATAAACTAAATCACTTTGTAATTGAAGCTTTCCCAAAAGTAGACAATATGTTTTGCCAAATTAAATTAAGCGGTAGCCGAGTGAAAACGGTTCGGTCCTCCACAATATGACAAAATCTCGACGTGGCTCGCAGAGAAAATATTTTCTCACCCCTGCTCTATTCATAACCCACATTAAACAACTACATTTTAGCTCCTCAATATTAGTATTGCAGTATTGCACATGCAGCAGAGGTGCAGGCGCCATTCTCCTCCGCTATAAACAAAAGATTACAAGTGACAAATTATTTTTTTTATTATATCCTTATGTCACTTGTTTTATCACTGTGTCTTGACTAAAACACACTTTAGAATCCTGTATTGTGCAGCCTCCAATGTATACTTGAGACGTACTAAACAAAGACTTTAATCCAGTCAAACCCGATTTTTGTGGAGTTTAAAATGCTTTTTTTTTTCTCTGTTGCTTCAGCTTCAGCCAGAAAACATACAGGTTTGAGTTTGAGTTTTTTATTTAAGTGTCATGCACAAAAGTGCCCAGCCCACATGGGCTTATATGACACTGAACAACAACATCTGATGCTACAGACCATATACATACATGAAAAACAGAAAACAATTTACAATTTGGTGCCTCATACATACAGGGTACAGAATCTGTTGTCTTCTCTACCAGGCTTTAGCAACAAAAGAAGCAAAGGCAAAAACTTCATGGCAATACATCCAGTTCATAATTTCTCCCTCAGGCCACCAAAAGACCTCTGGATTTACTTTTTCAAATAAAATGTTTCGATACTCAAAGTAAAGTGGACAATACAAAACAAAATGAGGCTCATCCTCTACCACCCCCAGGTCACAAACTGAACAGAAACGGGCCTCTACAGGTATATTGATTTTTTTGTGTAATGTAAACACTGTTTGTCTCTTTGTCACGTAACTCAGTGTAAAGGGAGGATTTGGACATTTTCAGGAAACGTGCGAAATGGCACAGTGAACTACTGATTCAACTTGGAGAGGAACCGAATCACCGTCTGGATGAAGAATTATTTAAAGAAATGGAACTGTGCTCTATGGGTGCTTTTTTTAGTTGATATTGTTTTTATATCTGGTGTTGGCTGGAATGAGAATGATTGAAAAATTGGTCAGACTTCTTGAAGTCAGGTTTATTATTCTTCCATCCAATCATTATCTTCAACCATGTCACGGAGCCAGCATTAGTGATTGAGGTATTTTGGATTGGAATGGATTTGTTTCTTTGTGTGACCTATGATAATATATAAGTTTGGCTTCAATTAGGACAAACATGAAGGATTATTTTATTCCACAAAAATTATAAACAAATCAATCAACGAAAACTAGTAAAACTCTTTTTTTAAAACTGAAATTAAGAACAAAATCTGTAATTCTCGTCATCTTAAATTCCCATCTTTAACTTTCCAAATGTGAATAGTGGAAAGTTTCATATCAGTGAACTGTCTGAGGAGACTTCTTTCTGATTCCATAATAGGTTAATGTTCTCCTCAAACTTTTTATTTTTCTTGTGGTTTACTTTGATGTAAATGTATTGTCAAAATGCGTGTTCTTTCTTTTTGGCTCAACTTAAATCGCAAACTGTTTCTTTGACAGGGCAAGTTAAATATGTTCATATTTTTCTTCTGCCCTTACTTCAGGCAGACAACAACATCATTAATTTAATCAGTATTTGTTTATATTGAATTTCTATCTAGTGATTTTATGCGTGTACTGTATATATTTCAGTCTGTCAAAAGAGATAAACACAACATTCCAGAGAAGAGATGTGCTAGATTGCTCTCTTGCGTGATATTTATAAATGAGGGCACAATACTATAGCAAATGAAAAATATATATTTTAGATTATCAATTCATTCATTCATTCATCGGATTATCAGTAATCCGATAATAAAATAAGTATAATTATTTCTGTTTGTGTTTTAGCACGATGTGTCGGCCGGAGCCCTGAAGGCAGCCCTGGATGGTGTGGTACAGGAGTGTGTGAGCTTTGTGGGAGTGGACATCAACATCTGCTCAGAGACGCTGATGAGGTGAAAGACCTGCTCCGTAATCTGCATATTCTACAGACATTATTAAACTTGACTCGGTTCATGTGAGCGCAGCATCTGACCTCTCCTTTGACATATTTTCCCCATGCACTCACATGGTTTAATTTAAAGGGCACACGACCTGACTGCCAGCTTTCTGTTTAGACTAACACTTCACACCCTGGGCTCACATTCTGGGATTAGGTAAGATTCATTATAGAGGCATAACTCATTCACAGGGAATAATTAGAAATAACACATATAAAAACCAGCATACTGTACATATTCCATACAACTTTAAGGATGTAAAGATCAGATTCAGATCAGATTCATTTATTTGCCATTTGCAGTAAAACCACATAGGAAAAACTGTGCAAGACTACCCCAGTGTGCACCAGACGACACACACCAGAGCTCTTGCCACGGCGCCATCTTTACGGCGCCATGCGTTTTTTTTTTTTTTTTTTTTCAGAACCAAAATAAGATTATAGATTAAGCGATAATCATGATTATTTTGGTCTCAATATAATCGTACCAACTGAAGAATAGTAATTGTAACGACACAAAAAACACTTTTTCCATGTGATCTATTGTTCAAAACTTTTATGAATCTGTTTTTCTATCTTCTTATTTGAAGATGAAGCCAGTGGGTTACTCCGAGCAAAGAAGCTTTTCAATTCAATTCAATTTATTTATGGAAAGCCCTAAATCACAACAGTGGTTGTCTCGGAGGATTCGTGAATTCTCCAACAACAGATTGTAGAATCAAACAGTGAAAACACAGGAAAAGCAATAATTTAAAATCCGTTGGAGCCATTGGTCAATAGGGGACGACCGATGTAAATGACCATGCTTTAATTTAGAGTGAAATAACTTTCTTTTTTTACTTAATTACTTAAGTAAGTTTGTTCCATAAATGTTAAATTGTTTATATTTTTATATTAAAATCAACAGAATTTGACCTTCTTCAAGCACTTATGAGGAGTTCTGTTTAGTGTTATTTAATCAAGTATCTCAATTTTTTTTTTCTATTTCTCAATTACTGTAACCCTTCAATTTGGAGATGGTGACATTGCTAAACACCTTACATAAACTTGTATGATAAAATGCTGAGAATTCTCTATGCTAGAAATAAGCTTGGCATGAGCTGTAAGGCGAGCATCAGGTCATATGTTTATGTCTCTGCCCTGAGCTTTCCACTGCGCCACAAACAGTATTCTCAGATGTGTCGATGACTGAAGTATTACGCAGGGTGTTGACATGGGACTGCTGCTGAGAGAGTGACGCACAGTGAACAAGGAGAGTGGTCACGCTGCCAAAACTGGACAAATAAACAGCACTAAGTGGCGAGTTAGTTTTTTTAATTTACTTTGTTGACGGGTTGTTACTAATTCTTTAATTTAATTCAATTCAATGTATTCTTGTATATCCCTAAATCACAACAGTAGTTATAAATTAAATTATTAAAAGCGTTGAATTTGCCAACACAGATCAGAGAATCAAACAGTTCAAACACAATAATATCGTCAATAATACGGTACTGTCAAAGTTGATGCTTCTCTTACAGTACAGTCGTGCCAGAAACGTTACAGACCCAGGTAGAGTGAGATTTCAGAGATTATGAATTATAAGATTTGGTTCTATGAAGCCATTTACTGTGAAATAAACATCTTTCTATTTCCAAATTCTAATAACAACAGAAACAACTCAAATGTCCACGATTAGAAGTGTCCAAGCCCATTTATGATTGCTTGGAGTGTTTTGTGGTACAGTAGTTGTGGAGAAGGTTCTTTTTCCTCTCTGATGATAAAGCGGCAACAAGCCTTCAGTTCTTGTGAATTCCTGTGCCGTCTTGGACGAACTGCACAATTGAGACCTCACCAGAGCAGGTTCAACAATGTTATATGTTTTTGACAAATGGCTTCACACAACCATTAAAAATGAGTGAAAAAAGGGTTTGTGTAATCTTTCCTAATCTGAAATGGATGCATGAAATGGCTTTGTGTGTGTAAACCTAAACTGTATAGAGCACAATATATGTGTGTTTCTAGCAACTACACAATATATAAATGTTGCTTTTATAACTATTTTCTTTTCCATATTTGAGCCTTTCTGAAGTATGTTATTTGAAGACACAACAACAATAAAAGATCTGTAATTTCTGTGATGTTCATTCAAAGTTTTTTTTATAGTTTTTTTAATTGTTGTTTTTGATGCCACTGTTTTGGGTGTCACTTAGGCATGTGGCTGGATTGAATGCTGGTAGAGCTCGAAACATTGCGGAGTGGAGAGAACAAAATGGACCTTTTATCAACAGAGAGCAGCTCAAGCTGGTCAAAGGCTTGGGCCCCAAGTCCTTCCAGCAGTGTGCCGGCTTCATAAGGATCAACCCTCAAACTCTGGAGAGGTACTTGTCTCCACACAAATATGCATTCACAAGTGCCAAAAAATACCCACCTCCCAAAACCTACTAATTATTATTTTAGGTTATAGATCTGACCACCACTTATTCTTACTATGTTTTAATTTTCATTGAAACAGCTCCAGTTTACCTCACTCCAGGCCGGCAATCCCAGAAAAAACAACTGCTAAGAAGGGCAAAGGAAAGAGTTGTGTGGCCGTCCCAACCACGATTAATCCACTTGACCAGACCTGCATCCATCCAGAGTCCTACCATGTGGCACAGAGGTATGAAAAACACACACTCACACTTTTCTTTTAAACATCTCGTTGGCCAAAAGCACTCAGAGTCGCTGAGACACTAGTTTTAATGTGGTAAAAGCCTATTCAACATCTTTCTTTTGTATTTAGGTTTTAAAGTGTGAAAAAGACAGACATGTGGACACAGGGACAGATAAACTGTGCGGGTGGGAGGGGCGGGACTTCTCCAGCTGCAGTCACTCAAAAGTGTTTAGTCTACATACGTTCTGACACTAGTGGTTTGGAGCACAGCTTCTCTCGTGTTGATGTGCCGTTAATGGTCTCAGTAAATGTGATGGTGGATGTGATATGAGAGCTTTGGTTGGCTCTTTTTACTTCAATGGTTCAATGAATGACTGGAAACATCATCTTGACTACCTATCAGCTGTATGAGAAGAGAAAGAAAAACAATTGTAAAGCACTTTGGGACTCTGTCAAAGGAACGAGTTATATCACGTAAAGACTACTTGCCTACTAATTTACGAACTATTCTTGAATCTATAATAGACAAAACCAGGAAGTAACCATCCATCCTAGTCTATCAGTCTAATCTATACAGTACATAGACTACCAAAGCTTCTATGTGAAAGCAGGAAAAGTAGCCTAGTTAGGGACTTCGTTGTCTCATTTAGCTCTGTTGATGTAGGAAAACTCCTAGTGAATGCTGGTGCATCCTCATGGGCAGATTAGCGTAGTCAAATGGTAGAGGAATGCTGTTTGTGTGTCTGTGCCACTGTGTGCATGTATAAAGAATATCGGGTTCATCGCATTAGAGTAACTAGATCCTCCATTACCGCTCACAGCCCACACATCATCCCCTTTTTGAAACCCAACCACAAACACTGTACACATATATTTTAAATGTTTCTTTTCATCCATCTTTGTTCTGCTTGTTGAGTGTTTTTTAGTTTTTTTAATGAAACCGAGAAATTACTTCACAGTAAAACTGCAGTTGAAAAACTGTTATTGCATAAAGGGGCCCATGGCATGAAGCGTATTTTTCTGGTATGCGACAGAGAAGTGTCCATGCTGTGAAGAATATACCTCTGATATGGAACAGTCGGGGCCCAATATTCCTCTAATACAAGACAGAGTGGGTTCTTGCTGTGGGCCTGGATAAAATCTGCAACAAAGCCCACCCAAACCACCTTCACAAAATCGGTGCTCACATATAGTGGTAATTATGTGAGTTTGAAACCAGGGTTGGAAGCAGTCTCTGAACTCAGAGAACTCTCTAAATATTACCATCCACCTGGGATGGATGGGCAAATTAAAAACACCTTTCTGCAAGTTTCTATTGCACGATGAAGAAATCCATATGTTTTGATAATTGTGATCCTGGCCCCCAGGCCCTGTATCTCAAAGCCTGGGGTAATATGATTTTGAAGCATTTTGTAACATTGATAACTCGACATTTAAACTCAAAATGGAATTTATTAGTCTGCCAAGTCTAGGGTGGTGATCAGTATTGATATTGTTTTCAGATTATTTTATACTCAAATGTTACTACCAGTGTACATGTAACATGATTGCTGTTTTAAATATGGCATTTTTTGTATTTTAAGCTCTGTGTTTGCAAATGTAATTTTGGATAGTATGACAAAACAAATATTTGATGTTGGCATGAGCTGAACCAAGCGGTTCATCCCAGTTGTTTTGACAAAATAAAATTGAGTTCTAAGAAATGCGACAAAAATAAATAGTTGAAATGTAGATGGATATGCAAGATGCTTCCTTTATAAACCTGGTTCTTGCATTTCTCAGTGGGACAGCATAAACGTTTGTGCAACCATTTATCTTTTCTTGATGATTGAGGTTTGCACCCAACAAACTGGAAAAACAGTTTCTTTTTCTACCATTTAACACACAGCTCAGAGATCGGCCCGTCTCCTCGAGTCGCCCACAGTGACATTGCTGACATGGGAGTTTTCACATTCACAGCTGTCTTACACATAGTTTGTACACAGGCCGGGTCCCATTACATCCGCACTGTCCTGGCTACTGCCAAATGAGCATTTCGGAAAAAAACATTTGAGCGTGAATCAACTTTTACTGTGTGCATACGTGCTTGTACATACACCTGTTGCGTCGATCAGAACGCGGACAGCTGCAGAGTCAGTTTGGCGTCAGGCGGCTAGCTAGCTGAGCGACATCCATCACAGGCGCTCCCCCAGCTGGTCCATACATGCACACAGGCAAACACATTCACATCTCTCACCATGCGTGGAAAGTAGCCACTGTAAACTGCTACACTCTAAATTTAATATTTTCCAACATAACTGCGTCTTTATTGGTGTACATGACCTAATTTAAATTGTGTAACCTGGCGAGCGGTCTAGACATTTTGGAAGGTGGGACATCCTGCTTGAATAAAACAGTGGAAAGGTACACTTAAAGCCAGCTGACGGACAGACCAACCATCCAACCTCGGAGAAGTGGAGGTTGTTTCATGAGACTAGGTGTGAGAGCGTTAACAGCCCACTGCGGATTTGACCGATTTACTACAAGGTTAAATAAGTCTGTGTTTTTCGAAGCAACCCCACCTACGCACATTAATACCAGTGCCATGTATTTATTTCTGCACACCCACATCAGTTTTCCATTTTTCTTTTGAATATAATTGTGTATGATTAATATCAACATGTATATATTTTTATAGATTCCTCTCCCTGGTGGGTTCGAGTGCCAGCCAAATTGGGACTATAAACCTGTCACAATGTGTGGATAACACAGTCAAGAACAGCAGCGTGGAGGATCTAGCTGGAACTTTGAACACAAGTCCTGAGACGCTCAAACTCATCATAGATGGGCTCACGCAACCCCCTGGTTTTGACATAAGACAAAGTAAGAATCTTTTCACACTACATAAAACGGAACAATGTAGTAAACTCAATGTTTTTCCTTGCTCTCTGTTTGGTTACCACTAGTTTTCAAATCCATGTACTTTACTTTAGATAAGCTTTTTCAGACAGAAAAGTGAAAAGATTAGAACCCATCTCACTTAGCCAATCAGCTCTCAGCCCAAAGCGTCAAATAGTGACGTGTTCACAACACTTTATTACTTTTTCTGTTAAGACAAACACAATGTATTATTTATACATACAAAAATTTAGCTACCCCCAGCTTTAATTTAACTTTAAGTTGACCAATTCCTAAATATATAATCAACAGGAATTGTCAAATCATTGGGTGATAGAGAGGTATTTAAATGGTAGGATTTAAATGTTATTGATAACGTTTTATTGTAGTTATTTTTGACAAACATAAAGGAATAAATCTTGGTTGCGGTAAAAGTTTTGGCCGACACTAGTTACATTTAGGACAGCATGTTGAAGGTTCATTCTTAGGTTGATCTTATTGGGTTGCAGAGCAGTGGATCGGCCTGCCAGCCACCGCTCAGCTGGGTAAACAGATGGGCTGTGGCTACCGCATGAAATCAGGGCTGTGGGGAGGATAATTGAACGGGGCTATTTCCTGAGGCACGAGTCTTCCCTGTTTGTATTATTTGCTATAGAGAGGAAAAGGCATCTCTCATGAACAGGCCAATGGAAAGCGGAAAGATGGTTGTAGAAATTGTGGAAGTATGCAGGAACGGGTTTAGACTTACTCATGGAAATATAATATGTTTGTGATTTCTGCACTGCCCTTTACTATCTCATGTCCCCTCTTCCTGTTGTCTTCTCCCGGACTCTGTGCCCCCCGTAGACTTTCGGCAAGCGGACTTTAAACGCGGCGTAGTGTCCATGAATGACCTGCAGGTGGGGGCAGTTCTGACCGGTCGAGTGGACAACACTGCCTTGTTTGGGGCGTTTGTGGACATCGGTGTGGGACGCTCTGGACTGATCCATAAAAGTAAAATCACACTGGACAAGCTGCCCCCCAGCCAAAGGCGCCGCAGCCTGGTATTGGGGCCTGGGGAAAGGGTGGAGGTTCGAGTACTCAATGTGGACCGACAAAGAGGACGGATCGGACTTGACCTCATAAGGGTCCTCCAATAGTTAAATAAGCACATTATTTTTTCAATATTCTGTTGCCTTATGATGAAAAGTGTGTGTCTATTTTGCATAACACTACGAAGTTTGACAAAGTAGCACTGTTTGTTTGTATTGAGTTTGATTTGTTGCTTTCAGCATATTAATAACACAAAACCACTTGTAAATGGAGAGTGGCATTTATTTTCATTCCTTCTCTGTGGTGCAGTAGATGAAATGAATGATCTGTCGGGGGATGGGCATAGACAGCAACTCCAGAGATTTCAGCAGACTGCGGTGATGCCCGAAGGCGATTTGAGGTCCCAGACACAATTATCCCAGGACACACAAACGCACATCATCAGCTGCTTCAAAATTAATCCCAGACTCCCCACCCACATTATCTAATTTGTTTGTTTTTATGAAAGTTGAATAAATAAAAGAATACATAAAATATGCCATGCGTAAAGCCTGGGGTAACCCTACTCTGAGCGCTGAATACCTAATCATACTTATCCATGCTGCTTCACCCTTGGGAAACAAATTAAATCTATTTGAGATATACAGACACAAAGAGATGTTCGATCAACATTAATTAGATATGGCAGTTTGCTTACGATGTACATGATCACCACCGTTTACATACAGTATTTGATCGTCTTTCCAATCAGGATGGCCATTTTATTTTACAAACATCCTTGGGCAGTTTGTTAGCCTCACATGTTGTCTGTTGATATCTACTCTATCAATATGATTTTTTCCCCCTGTCCGGGACCCGAGGCAAATTTTCCTCCTAAACGTGACCGTAAAGACAGTCCAGGCAATTTAACCACTTCTACCCCTCGTAGTTTTCTCCAGACGCTGACCTGTAATGAGTCTTTGATATGAAACAGGAGGAAGATTTTCTTTTTCACTGCGCTTCTCTGCTGCTGTTGCACTGAGCTCAGGTGTTGTTCAGACGTCGGTGATAAGTATCCCACTCTGGAGGTCGACATGTGTGTTCAAGTTTTAGAATTAGTCCAGTGATACCTCAACTCACTTTTTTGTTGGTATAATGTTCGAAATAGAAATCTCACCAATCTCAAATGCACCTGCAGAAACATTGCATTTCTCAGGTGCACATCAAGTTTGAAAACAGACATGATTTATGTCTTCTGTGCAGTCATTTGTCACAGTGGGATTAGACTGGTTAGTGTCAGCTTTCCTCTCTCAAAATGACTTGGGGTTGGGAAGAGTTTTCACCATTACCACTTGTTCAGAACTTGAAAGTAACACTTGTGAGAATGTATTCAGTTTGTAAATAGTTATGTAAAAACACGCCTTGCATTTTGTGATCCGGTTCCAAAAATCTTGATATCCATGGAAGTGCTTCTGGTATGTGATGTTGAAAAGTGGGAGTTTTGAGGGAAGCAGTGGATAAATGGAGGACGGAGTGAGGGATGGAATGAGACAGGAAATGAAAGGCTTTCTCGGGTTTCACTCCCCGTGACCTCATCAGTGTGATCATGGGTTTTATGAGCTTTCCCTCTCGACGCCCACACACCACCTCACACGTGCCAGGACACACACGTACGTAAAGTCCAGTCTGTGGACTTCATTCACCGTTCACATGGGACTCACAGTCCACTGCTCTGCTCAGTTTTTGTCTCCATATGTCCTTTATTTCACTCTTTCTAGTTTTTGTCAGATTTTCACATTAGTTATTGTAGATAGTTCTGTTTCCTTCAGAAGCCACTGACACTGACTACTGTCCTCGGTATCTATTATTACCACTGTAATGAATGAAAACTGGACACATAAGCAACACCCTATCTCCCTGCTCTCCTCTTTTTATTTTATTCTAATTTTACAGATTGTTTTATGTTTAATTGTATGTTCTTTGTTGTCCTGGACCTATAATAATCTATTATAATAGTGATAATACAAAAATCCATTTGATACTTACATATAAAAAACAACATCAAGACATGGTGCAAGGTTCGATAGAGAAAGTTACCACAAAGGTATGATCGCTCTCGATGATTCCATGGTGTTTATACATATCCTTCTGTTATAGTCATTCCACATTCTTTCCAGATTTTGGTTTTCACATGATTATATTCTTTTCTAATTTCCATACTGTCCCTTCCTCTTGGGATGTTTGTTTTTATTGCTCTAATGAAGATGATGCATTCTGCTAAATTTTAGTTCAGGGCTGATAAATGCACAATGTTTTTGCTTTTGTTACATTTGATACAGTCAGAATGTATCCTTCCTGTACTTTCTATTTTGTGCCTCTGAAGACTCTCACTTGTGTAAAGCAGTGTTTGATTATTTAAAGTGTTGAAGTCTTATTTTTGTTATAAAAGAGAGGGGTGCTGGGTGTTAATAAAGACAAACACACTGTAAGTAGGTGAGTTAGTTTTCTCCTCTGTGCAGCTGGACAGTTACATGACTCCCTCCATAGGAGCCCAGTCAGAGCCTTCAGTCAGACACTGGGTCTTTTCCTGTTCTGGGTCACTGCTGCAGTTGGTGGCTTTCAGTGATTGACAGATGAATGTTTGGGTTTTAACTTGCATCTCAGGGGATTGTCTATGGTCATGGCCTTTGTGCACAGAGAAGTGGGAAATTCTCACGCAGAAATACACTTTTGAAACTAGTCTTAAAAGTTCAGGCATTCCCCTCGTCCATGCGCTGATAACACAAGCTTCAATCCAACAGACACGGATCATATTCACACCATGCCAAATCTTGTTTTACATATAGACGTGAGGCACTTCACCAGCAAGGACCACGTCGCAACACTGAAATGAACTGGAAATATGTTTATTGATAGCAGCGGGATGAAGAGGCCAATTCGAGATTACCCGTCCGTGATGATATTTGAGAAGGGTGAGAGACATGGGGAGGGAAGATGGTCAAGATTGCTGAGAGTGGCATTGGGAAAGCTAGATTAAATGCCTTCTTGGTGAGAAAGCGAGGTAGTTACTGTAGCAGTAGAGAAGGAGGTCGAGGCCCTGCGTGGCCCTGCTCCTGCATTTTTGAGAATGATTAATAAATCACTTATTTCTGCATTACGCTTTTTTACTGCCTAATTTGGCCACAATCATAACCTAAAACAAACAAACCGACATGCACAATATAAATCCTAGGGGCATAATTGGTTTGTTAAAGATATACCCAGATGATTGATTAGTTGACTAAAATGGAGCTGTGGCAAAAGCTCGAGAAAATAAAAAACTAAAACTAAATAAACAAAATACAAACATCTTCAGTAAAAAAATAATAATAATTTTTTTTACCATGTTATTACTTAATATTACTGCACTGGTACTATAAAGATTGGGATGGCAATAATTTCAATAATTTAGACGGCTGGGTTTTTTAAAATAAAGATCATTATACTGCTGTTTATTGCACATATTATGAAACAAGTATCGTGTGTGCCTTTTTAGAATGACCATCAAGAAACAACAAAACAAGGTATACACATTAGTAGAATAACTTTTTGGCTATGACATACTTCAGTTTAGTGACAAATACATTGATTAGGCTATAGTTGAAGCATTAATATTTAATGACAGAACAGAACAAAGACAATGTAGCACTTGGCCCTGATTTGGTAAAGTCTTTGGGATGATCTCCACATTTATCAATACCATGCTTACTTTGTGCAGACAAATGTAATGTTTTTTCTAAGCACACACTGACGCGCCCCATTTTAACAAAGTCATAATTTACAGCAGCTACACCGACTCCCACTGATGACTGCTGTTGTTGAGTCCTTGGGCAAGACACTTAACCCCACTTTGCCTGAAGCCCCCACTGAAAGACCAAGGCTATGCCATAAAGCGGCCATCCACCTGTGGACTCACCACCTGCAGAAGGATCAGTGAGAGCCTGGTGCTATTTGTAATGGGTGGCATGTCTGGCCACCCCCCCCCCCCAACCCAGAAATGGATTAAAGGGTAGCAAATGAATAAATGGATGGATAATTTACATGCCAGGACGAAGTCTAACTTGAAGTGTGAGTGGGACTGCTGAAGATAAGGGCTTTACTGAGTCACATCGCGCTGATGCCCGTCATTATACCACAGTAGATTGTCATAAGAACAAAGCCCCTGATGTAAAGAAGGCTGCAGATGAAGCCTCGGGCTCAATGAGACACAACAAGCTCATGTAATACTCCCAATAAATTGTTTAAACTTTCAGTCAACCATTCTTAATACATTATTATAAATAATAAATGTACATTTTCATGTTCAACGTACACGGTTTCCGTGTACGTTGAACAGAAGAAGCAGAAGAGAGCAATACCATACACCTACAGCCAAGACTCGGGGTCTTAAAAGAAATAACATTTTTGGAATAAAATATTGTATATGAAAGATGTAGTGATCGTTGTTAAATATTTACTTCCTCCTGTTCCAGCGGTCTACCTTTTTAGAGCTGTTTGCTTTGTAAAACAGTTGTCCGTTATGATACAATTTCTTCTGGTCCTGTACATTGCACATTGACTTCAGACGCCTCCTCTTTAACCTAAACCATCAACAACTACAGTGTCCTTTAGTTGTTGATGTGATATTGTGTGAGCACTGAAGATAATTGGTGGTCTGTCCTGCTGCTGCTGTTTCTCTGTCATCTTACTCTATACTCTGATGTTAGCGCAGCTGCTAGCATGTAAAGTGCAGAGTAATATCCTCCACAGTCCCCTCAGGCACAGACAGGGTTTACCAGCTCAAGCACTTGTTTGTTTAGCCCTGTGTTTCAGCCATCCATTAATACTGCCGCCTAATAGTGCTGTCAGTAGCATTAACACACATGGGAACAATTTCCTCAACAAGGATTTAAGCTACCTCAAGAAGTGCTTCCCAAACATGACTTTCACCTGCAGTTATAACCTTGAGGGTGTGGTGGGCCCACCGTGGGCATGGTTTTCTTTTTCTTTCCTGAAAGGCCAACAATTAAAACGTCTGAATAGTCCTATTCTCTACAACAACAACACAATACTAATTATTGTGTTGTTGTTTATGTGGTAGTATATTTGT